TACTCACAGTACGACAGCATCCATGACGGAACCGCAAATGGCCTGCTTTAGGTTGGTAACGATCTAAGCAGAGTGAATTCAAACGAATAAGCACATGATATTTCAAGTTGGGGGCTATAGGCATCAGCAGTACGCCGGTACGCAGTACCGACGCTTTGCTGCCGCGCAATCACCACCGGTTGCACGCAGGCTAAGCATACTGTGAGGGTCACCCGGTCCCTAGGCAGACACGAAGCCGCGCCCTCAGATTACAAGGCACGCTTGTGATCCTTAAGGCTGGGGGACTGTGATTGCCACGGAATCAAGCCCCCGTCCATCAACAGCATTTCGATAGGACAACAGCCAAGGCTTAGGATGTAAACACAAGAGAGCGTAAATCTAACGGCTCCACATGGCAATCAAGCCTAACGCTTTCACCTAAACGTACTCCGCTCGACAATCTCCGGGGTGATGGAATCAATGAACCTTCCACGAGCTGAATAGCTCACTACCTCCTTCGACACCATCTAAAATTGAGCTTTCGCTTTGGTCTGTATAACTCAATAACCGCCGTGCTGCACCCACACAAGTCTTAATACTGCGGTCCCTCTATTATAAACGACTTTAAGAATACTGAAAATAGTGAGTTAGAACACATTGTGTTGCTCCATCGACACATTAGCAGGTACACGCGCAAGGTAACGTAAGTTATTACCGCATACTGTCAACGCGATTCGGCTGTGCGACGATGTGTTCACAAAATCTAAAATCCGCATAGTGGAACTCTAAGAATTGTTTGAATTCCGACACCGATTTCGCATCAATTAATGTATCGGGCAAACTGTTCCAATAGTTCACCACTGGACACCCCAGGGCACTGAGGGTGAGTTGATCGCTTCAGGTCCGGTATCCACGAGTGCTGCTTGATGCGTGCATGTGCGGAATCGGCCTCAATATAGGGGATGCACCCAGATGTAATATCCGGTGCGCCGTTGTGAGGTCAACTCGAAACCGACGGTATGATATGTGGTGTACAGCCCTAATCGTCTGCATTGGTCTACGTACGACATACCGCATAAAATGGTGAATGAGCCTAGTGGCCACATTACGAATGTGTTACAGTTTTTGCACCTCAACACGTGGTATCGGACAATAGGCGAGTGAGCCGTAGTCCTGCATCTTATGCTGCATCTGGTGATGGAAGAGAAGAGGCAAGTGGCGATCTCTTCAGACCAAGTGCAGAAGCCGCGTTTGAGCGGTCAAAGTATGCCCTGTTCGTTTCCGTGCAGTCTGTTCGTGCTGTCCATGGACTTCAAAATAAAGAATGAGAATACCCCCCGATCTTTCACGGAAAGTGTGGGATGTAGCTACCGACCAGGCCAGTGTACATATGTACATCGCTACCCTTCCCGAAAATAATAAATAAACGTAACTGGGTTAACCGGTACATCGACAAATTCAGACCCCATGGAGAGGTGGTCGAGGTCATGCTGAAGTACGTCGCATTCGTCGAGCGAATAAATTACTCTCCAAATCTTCAGGTCGTCTGAAAAGAAGGTGACTGAAGAATCTGAAGTACTTCTTTGATGTGGATCAAGAACAAAATGGGCCCAGTAATATGCCTCAGGATTCCCGCAGGAGAGTGATGCGCACAGTCTCTACTTATTTTCTCACGGGGTCAGGATCTGGAGAGTTGTCAAAAGATTAGGCGACCCCACAGAACTGTAGGGCCACTCAGACCGGGTTTAGAACTGTACACTCAAAAATACTTATGCCAACTATCACCAAGTACTGAGTTCTTATGAGTACCTGTTGTGGAAGCATCGCACACTGCACGTTCTGGATAGATGTAACCTCGGCGTATTCCTACAATTGCTGTTTAAAACAGGCCGAAAACGCATCAAAAATAATTAGCAATTAACTTGACCTTCGAAAAAGTGCATTTCGGCTGTTCAACATTTCCCCCATCCTGCTAGCAGTCAACATTTGCTTGTGCCCCCTGGCCGGACAAGGTACCGAGGTAACTGATACTAAAGCGAAGTGAGACCGTGAAAGAAAAAGGTCTGTTCCGTTTACCCTATCAACCTAAACTGAAAACTCCAGGGGTTATAGGGAAAAGTACGGGAGGCTATGGGGTACCTCATAATGACGCACATCAGATGCGCAAACGCCGCCAAATTGTTCGTCGCCCAGGGACGCGGGTTGAAATATCGCCAGAGTTTTAGCCCTGTATCTCTCGAAGTGTCAGACACGCAGCACTTACTAACTACTGTCCCCACTCGAAAGGCAATTTGGAGCTGCAACAGTCAAGTTAACTTGCGCGTCATGTCACGGAGTTCTCTGTTACCCACATCCGTGGGAACAAGAGCTCACTGACACCTTTTAGTTTATTGACAGGTCTGTTTTGAGCCTGCCGTCATCACCTCGAGCGTTCTAGTGCGGGAATTGTGAAGTTACAGCTTTTTAATACATGCTTTTCTCGCCATTAGTCATTGTAATATGCATCCGGTCGAGGATTCCGAGGGCTTCCGTGTCGTATTAGACCGAGGGGCCGGAAAGATAAAGAAGATGCTTCGTAGGCTGCTGGAAAACCACCTAGTAAGTGTCGGGGCTGGATGGATGGCGTGTTAGTGTCACATCTCGTGGCTAGCTGGGCGATACTGTCACAGCTACCAAGAGAGGACCGAGAGCGAGGCGACTAGATGGATGGCGTGAAAGCGTACGACCGTTGGCTAATACAACAACACCGAAGACAAAATGAGAAAGCAAAGAGAAGAAGAACCGACGCTCATACTATACGTTACGCTCGACCACTTACTTGTTGATTTGCTACAGCTACCCTGAAGTGCTACAGGCATAAGCCGCCTCGACAAACGACTAACACGATCACGCCACCTCTCCCAATCTGACCTTGACCGGACCAATCACATGCATCCCCTGTCCGCACGGACGGACGGCCAGCAGTCCCATTTGGGCATTTTAGGTCACCCGCACAGATAGGGGAAAAGGAACTAAGATGAAGAGTTGTAATATGTCCGGATATGCTGTTAATCATTATGATGCATCGTTTACATCGCTGATCTTCACCAGTAAGTCTTTAAAATCTTCACTTAAATCGTATTTCCATTGAACGCAAGTAGCCGATAGACTGCCGCTGAGCGATTCTGGTCGTTCTAATGAATTTCCGTCAGTCAAAAAATTTCGGAGCAGACTTACGGCTTCAGTATTGGGTTGTTAGTAGGGTTTGGTAGTCGATTTCCGCTTGCAACCAGGAAAATGCATTCACGTATTACGTGAATGTTGCCTTGGGAATTTCTATTTTGTGACCAATATTAATCCAAATGTGTCGCACTGCGGCAGATAGGACATAAAAATCGGCCATTCAAGGCGCTCTAACAGACATTTTTCGGTCACTCGTGTTATGTAGGTCTATCTCAACGAAACACTGATGCTCACACCAAACGGAGCGGTTATGGAAGTGACTGCTGTTCGGCTAGTTCCCTTTGGCCTCTGAAAATAGTGTTACCAGCGAAGTCGACGAAGACCATAATGATGAACAGATGGCCAGTATGCCACGTTTCAAACTGTCTCTGCAAACTGCGGTACAATGCAATACGTGGATGTACTTCCGTAAGCCATAGGCAGATTTGCAAAACTACAGGAAATCTTGTTGAGAGTCGAACTATTTATCCTGCTGACGCCTTAGAGATCGTGTGGTCAAATATCTCAGGAGTGACACCGAAAAATTAGTCACAGGCTGTCACAAACCAGTTCGAATGCCGCTTGCAAGTGAAACAAGGGCAAAGGGGAACAGTTCAGTTGTATCAGGCAAAATGATTGTTGCGCCAATGGACGGTACTGCGAGCATCACACCAGCAGAAGATGATGTAAGCGATCAGACTCCGTGTGCAAATGTGTCAAGCCGCATTGCGCAGCGCTTGTCACTTTACCTAAGAGAAACAAATGTATCCGAAACCGGTCATGGGGTGCGGTGTTTTAGAGCACGTAACATAAAATGTATCTATCTACTTCGCTAACGGCCCCAGGTTTACCTCAATCCGAATCACAGTCCACAGTGAGGTTGCGCGTCACAAGACATTCATAGGAGTGTTTCAAAATGACCACTCCAATAAGAAATTAGAATGTATTTTAGAGGCCACCGGTTGTGAAATGATATAGTATGCCGTGGTATCGCTTCTTACATTTAGTCAATCTAGAGCACGGTAGCAGAAAAACAGTAGTTGGGACTGTGTAAGATTAAGCGGTAAGCCTGTTTCAAGTGGAAGTGATTATACGGTTAAATGCACTGAAGTAATCTGGAGGTAGGCGTCAACGATAAATCTACCAGACACTAACAGCTCCGAGTAGCGTGCGGAGGGGGGAGGGATGGACCCTGTTGAAGGTGACAAAACAGAGCGTTGAAACAGCAGACTTCACGATGCCAAGAGCAGGAGCGCAAGAACCGAGGAAAAAGGTTTGTCATAGGAAACGCACGCAAAAATCAGATCGCTAGCCTATGTCTGGCAGATAACTATCACAATTTGGATAACCTTGCGAGAAAGCAGTTCGTTTCTATCTGCAGCTAATGTTCTGGAGGCGTGAATACCGAAAAGAAAGCAGCAGGCATCGTGGAACCCTTCTTCCTCAATCTCTGAACGCGAACTAATTCAAAAAAATTAGTGACTAGGCGAGATATCTAGTACCGTTGGTCAAGCTTGTAGGGAGTGACAGTTGATAGAATGAACTAGTGTCAAAAACTCTGAAACCACACAAGCCGACGTCTCACGAAACAACGATAGCTTAATTACCGTTGATTGTTGACAAGCTACCCACTAGTACACACTGGAGAAGGCACCTCGATTTGTGGTGGAACGTCTACAACCGCCCAGTTGACGAACCGATCAAATGGCAACAGTGGTTACCAATTAGGCAATTTACACCATTACGTTCCCATTGCGCACTAGGCAAAAAGGAAATCTCCAAGCAGTCGCAAACCGGTGACAAGCGTGAAAAACTACAAGTTGTATCAAAAAGTGTGTGTATATGGTGCATATAATCATCGGCAGATAAAAATAAAGATAATGTTCATATAATACAACATCTGTGCGAACCGAACGATCAGCACAGTGATATGCATTCAAGTCTCTGATTTACCGTTATTAGTACACTGACCGTAGCTCCGTGATGGACAAGAGTAAGAGCACTCTGTCGGAGATGGCGCATGTGAATTTAGGAATCGTCGCAGCATCGGGGGAGTGGATATGGACTCCGTGTGAACTTCAGATCGGAGATTCTCGTCCAAACTGAAGTAACCAAACCGCGCAGTTAGTTCATCTGGGTTATTCTTAGGGTTTTCAACCGGATTGGAAGAATGCAGACACGAGGCTGTAAGCCGACCAACCGATTGTGTAGGCGGCTGAGAGTAGAACCCACTAGAGAATTCGGTAGAAACACTACACTCGTTGTGCATTTCCCAAACACCTTGCGAACATACATCGGTAGAGAATAAACCTCCTGATAATTTGGCACTTTCTTTCTGAATATCAACTCCACAGGGGCTACCAAGGAGCCGTGAGATGCAGGACTGTGAAGCATCCGAACATGTGCTGGCCGTCTCGTAGGAATTTCCCGCAGGATGACGCCGCCTTCGGCCTGGAGGTGGCCAGTTCTCTTCGTCCTCGGATGAGGAAGCATCGCTCCAACTGGTAGGGAACATCGACAAGCAAGGACACGCAGAAAGCGATGCACTCTGCTCTCAGGCGATGCGCGACGTTATATAGGCCAATCAGCCATGTGACAATGTACGTGGTAGCTACGACAGCACACATGAACGCACTCACGTTTAGTGCAGGCACATCGAAGTGCTACTGCGTATGCCATTCGGACGCGCATGACTCGGATCCGCTGTGGCCAATGTACATGAAGCATAGATGATCTTTCAACCAACCGACGATCGCGACCTTGTCGCTGCGAAAAAAGAACCAATGACAATGCTCGCGCCGCTTTCACAGCTCTTGCCTGGGCAAGGCCATCATCCAAACCACTGACGATCTGAGTCGCCGTTGGGCTGTTATCCCTGTCTCGACTGTCGCGTGGATCACGTGGGCGATATTTCTTACGCGTGTACGGCGACGGTAACTAATATTTGCACCCGTATGGCGCATCGCAGTTTTAGCCGATTGACAGGGGACCAGCCTGACAACCTTACCGATTCGATCAACATCTGGGGGTACCACTAACAGTTCGTGCGGACGGCGAGCCCACACCAACAACGTTTTGACGCATAACTGTACTGGGTAGCCAATGTATTCCAAAGCATGATTACTAATGACAAGGTTATTCTCACCACTCACAGGAAAGATTTGTGTCGCCCCCGACGGCGTCGCTTTTACAACATCACTTGGTTAGGACAGATCTGTTAACCGGCCGAGGAAGATGGAATCCATTGACATCAGGGCTGTTCACAGTCTTTGTAGCCTGCCCTGAAACAAGTTTCGAGGATAAAACTTATCAGTCTCCTTAAAATTGGGGTTCATCTTAATGCCGAACACCTTTCCTAAGCTAGTGGTCTGGATAAAGCTGTGTTATTACCAATACGCATGATGCAACCTAAATTACAACCAAAATATCCACAAGTTGATTCAGCCTCGCTCACGCTTTGCCGAGTATGTAACGGGTGTAGCAATATTCAACCGACCGGCAGTAGTTGGTTACTTTAAGCCACCACAGACAACTGGTCATCCAGCATTTATATCGATATTTAGCCGGATACTTCGTAGATGATTTCATTCATTTCTACCGGACTGCGTCTAGCAATAACCACTGCAGTTTATGCCTTTCTATTCAAAATAAGCATTCTCTGTCGAGTTTATAACTGCAGAAACTCGGGAACGTGATTTTTAGACTGACAATACCGCTACGATAAGTTTGCAGCTTACTCATTGCAGCATAAACTACATTTACAAAAGAATTCCCTGAATTATTACGCTCTCACTCAGCATGGACTAGTGCACTTTGGGCTTTCCAGATGATGCGCAACTACCTTGACGGCTGCTTTTGCTATTCCACCCGTACATGGCAGAAGACAGCCATTTCGAACTCCTGGGATTTGTTTGGAACCTAACGAAAAGATATCGTCTTAGAGAGATTTGTGAACAACTGATTATTTAGTTTATTTGGCTATATTTCGGTTTCAACTCCAGATCTTCTACAGGCTAGGTGAAATAGCCTGAAGATGGCTTGGCTTTTATAACAAATTAAGACGCTACTTGCGAGAATTAATTATTATTATTATTACAGTTTCAGTGGGTCAATAGATCATGCTAGTGATATAACGAACGTGGAACGTTCTCAATTGATCCTTGTTACAGGTCATTTACATGCAAAGCACTATGGTTCACTTTTAGGCCAAGTGAATTTGTACATGTTTGTGTGACATTGTACATTAAATGTGGTAAGCAACCATGACATATGACACATAATTCCATGCACTCTTACTGACAGGTGGAGAATTTATCTTAAGGGGTTTAGCCAATTCCAGTTTGGGTATAATGTTGGTGGTTCCACATGCTCAGGCTGGTGTTGCATACCGCAATTAAACTAGATTTTTTAAGTTGGATAAACTTAATTCCACTAGAAGTGGTTTGTTCTGCCTACATGAATAATCTTCTAGTAACTTGCATATGTCGCTTACGCTAATTGCGCTTCTCTTCGGTAACTATCGCGTTGGTAGCCGTTTTCGAGTAACTTGTGGACATTTTGTTTTTCTCGCGGTTCCGTTGCTAACCAACTTACTTCATATGCTAATTTCGCGAAGCGTCATCTGCATAGGCATAGGTTTTAACTGATTTATTTTATTTGATAATGTCATTTCAAGTGATTGGCAGTCGCTTCATATTCCCTGTGTGGTTGCGCTTGATGTGCATGTTGACAAGGTGCCTACCAGTCTTTTACCCACTACCTCGTCCATACTGGCTCTAGGAGGTAGTTTGTCAATGCTGGAGGGGATGGGGTGCACGGTCCTTGTGGCCGTGCTAGGCTCGAAGAGTGGTTCCATGCATTCAGTGTGGGGCGGACTACGGTCCAGCCACCGCCTTGTGTGCGCTTGATTTCCCAAATACAGCGTGCTTGTGTTTGCCTGTGAAGGAGTGTGGGCCGGCTCCGTTGATGAAACGTGGCTCCCATCCACAAGCCTCCCAGTCTTATTCCTTCGAGTTTATACTGGATATGGGGTGTGTTGTTGGAGCGGTGGTTGGTGCAGCGCAAGCCACCCATGGTCCCTCTGTAGGCGCAGGCGTCCTGTGGTTGTTCCTGTGGAGGCCACAGTGACAGGCAAGTCCGAAACCAGACGCTGCCAACCCTGATGCTAATGATGATGTCCATATTTGCTATCCGATCTGACCATTGTATCGACCCTCCTCAGATCGGTCGGATTAAATTCGCTCTCCACGCAAGCAAGAGATCCACACCCTCCATATTGTTCGTACTGCCACTGCTTTTAACTATTCCGACCACTGTACTCAGTCTCAGGCTCTTCGCTTGTAAACCTCCCCTAAATATCTTGACATTATTTGCATCGATCGGATGTCCAGCGCAAGCACAGATACGACACAATATCGTTACACTGCTCTGTATTCCAGCTCAGTCCTCGGCAGTCACAAAATGCGCATTTTATGTCTCAAGATCAAGGTTCGTAGCTATCTCACTGGTTAACCAAAGTATGTGTGCACAGGGTTGGCAGTTGATTTTGTACACATAGTTGGTCGTCAGTTTTGCGGAAAGGGTATCTGTCAAGTGCACCAGCGTTGAAGGTAAAGTTTGGTCGGACTTGAAGAGCACACTTTTTCCGTCTTTGTTCAGCACCTAGAATGCTTCCGATTTTCCTTCCTCCTAGGGAATTTCCACTGTCCATCGCTGCGGACCTTACCTTTGGGCTTACTACTTTTCGTGACTGTAGTTTCACCAGACGTCGCTCATAAACGCTGTTTAGTAGTTTGGTTACTGCCTCTTTCGACGCGATTCTTCCATCGTCCCTTGTTGTGCACAGGGTCTGTGCGCTGTGGAACAGCTATGACACTATCCAAGCGTAAACGTTTTAGGGTGAGCTGAAATATACTGGAGTATCTGAAGTGTTCGTCACTCTCCTGAATGGACGTTCGATTCTTAATCAAAACCCGAAGTCGCTGGCTCCCCACAGGACAGAGATAAGACCGCGTCGGACGAGCAAAGCAACAGAAATCTATTAGCGAATCACGCCGTTTATTATAAAGGTGAAATGGAAGGTTCGTGAATGTCATTTAAAGCCCATGTGGAAAGGTCTGGAATGGTCAAATTACAGCAAATCAAGGAACACCACCCTCGCGTTAATTGGCCGCACCTCCCGGTTGGCTCTCTGTTCGCCCCAATCAGAGCGGGTGAGTTTGGATCGCCTGCCGCGGCGATGGGGCCCTAGCTTGTTCACATCGTCTTTTCCTTCCCAACACTTCCCCTCTTTGACTTGTGTTGTACAATTTCAGCTTGGGCTTGACTTGCATAGGTGACACGAATTTGCGTCACCGCTGCGGCCTCTGTACTGCTAGGTTTCGGGGCGAAGGTTGTGGTTGCTGTGTGGGTGCATGTTGAGTAGTCATCGCTTCCCTCGCCTCGATCAGTATGTCCAGATGTAACTACGCTGCTGGTACTTGTTGTTGCAGTTGTTCGCCAGTCCCTGCCTTTAGCATCTGATTGGCATGTCTTCCCCAAATTGCCGTCCCAACCAGGATACCATAGATCACATTACCAAGTTTGTATAGCATACGGCCCATAGCCCATTTAGGATAGTGGATGCGATAAACTCCCGACAGAACTAGTTGACCAACCTTAAAGGCTCGCTTGCGAGCACCATGTCGTGTGTTGAATTGACGCTCCATCTGATAGTTGTGGTACAGGAACTGATCCTTCCCGGGTCTGAGGGCATCTTGCCGCACACGAATTTTCCTTTGAAACAAAATTTCAGCCGGAGATAGTGCGCTCTGTGTCTGCGGATTTGGAGTTGTGCGACACGTCAGAAGAAACGTGTCAAGAATCTCTTCCAAGGTATCTTCCCCTTTCAATTTTAACAAGGCTCTTTTGAGTGTATCCACAAAGCGTTCCGCTTGCCCGTTCGATTGTGCGTGGAAAGATGGAGACCTTACGTGGACGATCGCGTTTCTGCGACAGCAGACAACAAATTCTGGGGAGGTGAATTGTGTACGATTGTCCGAAACCAACGTGTGGGGAACACCGAAACGAGAAACTACCTGTCGGAGAGCAGAGACAGTGGCTGCTGCGGTGGTTCTCACCATTGTAATCATCTCTGGCCATTTACTGTGGGCATCGACAACGATGAGAAAATTATGACCGTCAATTGGACCTGCAAAGTCGTCGTTTGCCCTTGACCATGTTTCCGTTGGTTTTGGCCAGGATTGCCATGCCGTCTTCCTTGGTTGTTTAGGTACACTGGCATATCGGGGACAATTCTTCGTTACATTTTCGAGCTGGGAATCGATATAGGGGGAATACACATAGCTTCGTACCAGTGATTTCATGCGATTCATTCCCGGGTGGCCAGTATGAAATTGTCGGAGGACTCTCTCTTGAAGGATGAGAGAAATGAAGACACGATCGGAGAACAGAAGACAATTGCTGACGACTGATGGTGCTTCCTTCCGTTGGCGGAATTGTTAAAGCTCCGGCGTTGTAACTGTCTTAGGCCGGCCATTGAGGGGGAAATCGATCACTTGTTGTAAGGTAGAATCATGAAGGGTCGCTTCCTGCACCATTTCGAACGTTACTGTTAATGCACCGAAAATGTCAGGCGCAACTTGATGTACTTGAGGTTCTACGGAGATTTGA